GAAACACGTGAACGGTCAATTGAAGTCATGTCGATGTGTATAGAAGCTATGGACCAAGATGATCCCATGACAGCGTTCTTTGTGGAAGCAACCAGAGCTACGGTAGATGTTATCATTTCAAATGCATTATCATCCTTATGTTCTTGGACATTAAAGTTTAAAACCAAAAAACATAACAGTAGTATGTAACCATTGGAAAACGAAGAGAATATGAAAGAAAATTTTTTTCGGACTGATTGGAGATTGGGAAGTGGATGGCTATGAGTTTTGTTAGGGTTTTTATCTTGTGGTAGCTTTTTACAGAGGCGCAAATATAAATACGATGTATTTTTAACCTACTATAATATATTACACACAATAGTTTAAAACTTTTAATGAAACAAAAAAAGTCTTTAACAGAAACTATTGGCGGGTGCGTAATCGTGAATTTGTGTAACGTTCTTACTTAATGATATCTGCGCATGACTGATTGCGCTCGCTTTTTTTTATTTTTTCGGACTAATCTAATGCTGTTGGCCGCAGCTGGCCTTTACAGCTTCACCGTACGTTAGGGGGCGAGTGCAGATGGACTTATGGAGCGGCTGAAGGCCAACTCCTGCCTGACGGATACGACTTTAGTCTGATGGCACCACTAGGGGTTCGAACCTCGGCTCAGGCCGTCGTAATTTCGATCCCCGTTTAAATTGAACGGGGGATCGATCGGAGGGGACTGCGTGCATTCCTCTAAATGTGCGGGGAAGCGACGGGTGCTGGAAGGGCGAGTAGGCATTGGCACGTCGTTAGGGGTCCGCGTAATAACTATCTAATTATTTCTGTAATAATGTCTTGTAACAACATTTCACCGTCCAATTCAAACTGACATCGAAATTACGACGCCTGAGCCGAAGTTCGAACTCCTAGCGGTTCTCATAAACTAAAGTCGTGTCCGTCAGGCGGGAGTTGGCCTTCAGCTGTAAAGCCCAACTAAGGCCGATAGGCACAGAGTAGTCCAAAGAAAAATCGAACAACGTAGAAAAAATCGATTGAGTACTATAGACTTTTAGAGACATTGCTACTTTAAGATCCTTTTAATACATCCACAACAGTTTTTAAGGTTACAGAACTGTAAAATAACGACTTTATAGTTTTGCAGGATATCTTGATTTCTGGCAAAACTACAAGGTCTGTGCAAAATAGTTTCATTTCGTTACATTCTCTTCCTTTTCCATTTGAGTTTCATACTTTTATTTTCATTTATATTTTCAAAGGATTTTGCACTAACACTAGCCTAATATTTTTATATTTTCTTCTTGACAGTCATCTTTAATTGAATTGCAAAGAGTTACCTCATTCTTAGATACTTTAATATTATTATGTGACACTGTTTGTATAGGCCGTTATTAGTTATCCAAAGCCGTAATAAAGAGAACCTTAGAAAAAGTTAAAATGTTGGCAACCCTATTTTTAAAATTTAGAATAACTTTGAAGTGAATTTCCATTAATTAAAAAGTAATTAATTAAATTAGATTAAACATTAGTAGCATGTAATTATATTTAAACAATAGTTAATTTGTTAAATTAAAATTGTTATTGTGAATATCACGTATAATTAGGTTACAAAAGTCAGTACAAAAGTTTGTTTCTGTTATTTTTTTCGACTTGAATGTTTTTATTTTGTTAAATGCCCAATTTTCGCCGATATAGTAAATATTGCTGTTTATACAGTAATAAAAGTTATTAGAAATTGTTTGTTTGTGTATTTTCACGACTTAAGATAAAGAATATCGTGTGATTTGTTTAAAAGAAGTTCAAGCAAGTACTAATACGTTGTAGGTTTAGAGTATTATTTTAAAGTGTCTTGTGCTTTGTTTAAAATAAATGAGCAAGTTCTATCAAGATTCGTTGTTTCTAGTATTATTATTAATAATAAACCTTTTGTCTGTGCTATTTTTGAGATGAATAATCTAAGTGCGCCTTCGTGATACAGTATATTTGCATGTTAAATTTCGTGAAAATGTATATAAGTTGACGGACAGGTATAAAATATGCAGGTATATGTAATATGTTATATATATTTTTTAAAGAAACATACCAAAATGCATTTATGACGTAATAAACTGTCAGAAAGAAATTAAAAATGTAGGACTTATGGTAGTTTTTTAACGAGTTTTTTTTTTATACCAAATGCAGTAAATAAGACATCTAAGGAGATTTTAGTTCTTCATGTCCAACATCTGTGCTCTTCCAATAACTATAATAATCATATTATTATGTAAAAAATTTTTTTTTTATAAGTAATATTAAAATTAGATTTTTTTTTAAATTATTTTTTATAAATATAATTTGAATGTTCTCTTCAAATATTATTAAAAATACCTAATATCATATTAGGTAATGCCATTTTCATATAGCTATTTAGGTAAAAAAATGTATATAACTTTTTTTTAAATGTGGAGTGAAAAAAGTAACTTGACACATTTGTCTTCATTCATTCTGTATTAGAGCCATAAAATAACAAATTGTACATCATTATACTCAAGACTGAATATAATATCATTTTGCCTTTTCTGGAAATGCAAAAAAGTTACTCAATATTAAAGAAAAAAGCTGTAGTAAATATTATATATGAAAATTAAGAGATTAATATCTCTGTCACATAACTAACCCATATTACAGTTTTGTTTTTTAAAAAATATTTTATTTAATTATCAACTAGCTGTTCCTGCAACTTCGTCCGCATGGAATTTAACTTTATTATTTCTGAAATAAAAGTTGCCTAAGTTACTCCCTATTACATCAGCTACCTGCCAATAAAAGTCCCGTCAAAATCGGTCCAGCAATTTCAGAGATTAGCCGGAACAAATAGACAGACAGACAAAACTTTAAAAAAATGTTATTTTGGTGTATATACTGTATTTATACTCATATGCATGTAGTAAAAGCAGTTATTTCAATATTACAAATAGACATATAACATATGTATTAATAAAAACATTTAAGTAGATTAATTTCTACAGAACCATATAGCTATACTAATTTTATATATATATATAATATGTATGTATTTACAAACTCAAATGTATCCATTTAAGTATATATCAGTTGTCTAGTACTCATAACACAAGCTCTGCTTAGCTTGGGCTTTAGCTTGCATTCTGCATTCCTGAATATGAATATGAACTATAAGTGTGCAAAATTTCATACTCCATCCATGCAAAATTAGTAATTAGTTATTAGGGGCTAAAAGTTTTTGCTTCCGATATTAACATAATGATGGTAGTTAGTTGGTCAGTATATCATTAACGATGGATTTAAACTCTATTCTATAGAACTATAAAGTAACAAAACGCACTATGATGCAACAAATAAAACAGTTGCGAGATTCAGACCTGCGTGCCAAGCATCCTATATCAATTCTGAACGAGCTGCGCATTGTGTTCTCATTCAAAGATGTCCATAAATACGGAGTTGAACATAAACCCACTTTCTGTGTCTATGTTGTGGTTAGTAGCTATTATTTATTGGTGTTGTTATATTATTTGTAGATTTTCATGATTCTTTTCTATTTATTTATATAGTTAAACAGTTTCAGTATGATATTATTTTATGTTATTTGTAGATTTTGAGGATCCTTTTGTATTTTTTTTTGTGGATGATAATGGAATTGTGCACCTGTTTGCGCTAACGGTTTTCACTGGCGGGGCACCAGTGGAGGATGATGAGCATGAGGTCAGGTCAGTTAGCCCATCGTGACAGATTCACCAAGAATTTATCACGATGGTTTCCAGGAGGAACCGCGTGGAGGTCAACCTGATATGGTACATTGCTAGTAATGGGTTCATCAGTCCCATTTCCCCCCGATCCTTTTGTATTTGTACAACTCAAAATATTCGGATAGGTCAAGTTGGAATTTTTAATAATAAACGTGCTCCGCTCAACATGTGACCGGGTGTGTGAACAAGACCAGGAACAATCCTAGTAAAATTTACAATAAGAAGAAGCCGAAAATGTCATATTTAAATAATAAATTTTATCTATAAGCTGTAGAAAGAAAGAAATAGTTTCTTCAACACGAGAGTAACACAAGTTTCTTGCTCTTTCTTGTGCTAAATATCAATACATAAATATTGTATAATATAATACATAGATAGATAAATTCTTTATTCTCATAAAATTGATAAGGAAATGGTGCCGAAAATGATATATTAGCGCGAAGCGTGGAGTGATCTTAGAGATCAGATTTGCACTCTTTGTAACGAAACTCCTCCGATATGGCTTGAGCGATTGAGAGCAAATGGAGTGAACTTAGAGATCAGATTTCCACTCATTGTATGATATTCCTCCGAAACGACTTGACCTATCGAGACCAAAATTTCATCGAAGGTCGACGTTAAGCCTCCATCGTTTAGCACTCAAAAAAATCGGTTATTTAGAATAAACTTGCTCCGCTCATGTGACTTGGTGTGTAAACAGCACACTGGTAACAAACATACATAGTTTTAATAATCAATTGAACAATAGCAACGTTTTTTTTTATAACACAGGGGACAAACGAGCATGCGGCTCACCTGATGGTAAGTGATTACCGCCGCCCATGAGCACCCGCAAGATTATATTGTTATTGTTGCTAGTATTTTTAATAATCTAATAAAAACATTCGAATAGTCACATTTTTTTATTCTATCACTCATTCGGAACGTAGACTCATCACAAGAACAATGAGCAAGAAACTTGCGTGTTGCTCTTTTCAAAGTTTCCACTCCAATCGATTCCTCGTCCAATTCAAACGGTGATCAAAATTACGAGCCTGAACCGAGGTTCGAACCCTAGTAGTGCCCTCAGAGTAAAGTCGTATCCGTCAGGCGGGAGTTGGCATTCAGCCGCTCCATAAGTCCTTCCTTTGGTTTGGAGTGCCATCTGCACTCGCCCCCTATCGTCCGGTGAAGCTGTAAAGGCCAGCTGCGGCCAACAGTATTAGAGTAGTCTGAAATAAAATTATTTTCAAAGCATTTCCTTTGTAGGTAGCGGATATGACGTTCGAAGGGTGGGGCCACAGTAAACGCGAGGCGCGGGCGTCAGCCGCTCGCGCTTGTCTCTCAGCCCTACTGGCGCATGTGGGCCGGGTCCTGCCAACTGGCAATCCTCAGCATGACTTCACAAGCGACGACCCTGGCAAGTATTCAGGTAAGCAATATAACCGTACTAGCTGTGCCCGCGGCTTCGCGTGGAATAGTGACCTTTACCAAATAAAGAAAAGTCCTACTAATATTATAAACACGAAAGTTTGTGAGTATGGATGGCTGTTTGTTACTCTTTCAAGCCAAAACTACTGAAGACTTTAGAGGAGAGTTTGTGAGTATGGATGGATGTTTGTTACTCTTTCAAGCTAAAACTACTGAAGACTTTAGAGGAGAGTTTGTGAGTATGAATGTATGTTTGTTACTCTTTCAAGCTAAAACTACTGAAGACTTTAGAGGAGAGTTTGTGAGTATGAATGTATGTTTGTTACTCTTTCAAGCTAAAACTACTGAAGACTTTAGAGGAGAGTTTGTGAGTATGAATGTATGTTTGTTACTCTTTCAAGCTAAAACTACTGAAGACTTTAGAGGAGAGTTTGTGAGTATGAATGTATGTTTGTTACTCTTTCAAGCTAAAACTACTGAAGACTTTAGAGGAGAGTTTGTGAGTATGGATGGATGTTTGTTACTCTTTCAAGCTAAAACTACTGAAGACTTTAGAGGAGAGTTTGTGAGTATGAATGTATGTTTGTTACTCTTTCAAGCTAAAACTACTGAAGACTTTAGAGGAGAGTTTGTGAGTATGAATGTATGTTTGTTACTCTTTCAAGCTAAAACTACTGAAGACTTTAGAGGAGAGTTTGTGAGTATGAATGTATGTTTGTTACTCTTTCAAGCTAAAACTACTGAAGACTTTAGAGGAGAGTTTGTGAGTATGGATGGATGTTTCTTACTCTTTCAAGCCAAAACTATTGAACCGATCATCATGAAATTTGTGTACACATGTTCTTGGAGGTATTAGAATGAACAAGAGATAATTTTTATTAAAAAAAAATATATTTAATGAATTTAATTCGAGCGAATCCGCGGGTAACAGCTAATAATATTATAAACGCGAAAGTTTTTGAGTATAGATGGATGTTTGTTACTCTTTCACGTAAAAACTACGCAACGGATTTTGATGAAACTTTAGAGTAATATAGCTTGTGTACCAGAATAACATATAGGCTATATTTTATATTGAAATTTGACGCGAGAGAAACCGCGGGCACAATTAGTTACAGTTAGAAGACGCTTCACGTGATAAAGTTTTCTAGTAACAAAAAACCCTTTCGTTGAAATCGGTAGAAAATAATTACCAATTAACATAGTTTCCATCAAAGTTGGAACACTCTATGATTGTCATCATAATGTCTAAATCAGTAATGACGGCCCACAGCGTTGCGTGATTAATAATTTGATTGCATGCGTAAACAAAAGCATAACCCTCCTTTATCAGTTCGGATTAGTGATTCCAATTTTCGTAATCGAGCCCCGAGACTGTGAGTGGTATAGTCTTTTTTCTGAGTCTTTATTTTTTTACTACCATTTGAAAGCACCCGTGATTTTACTCGCTTTGAATAAAAAATATTTGTTTTTTTAATAAAAAGTTCATTCTAATGCCGCCAAGAACATGTATCAAAAACATACCTAATTTTACATTTATAATACTTGTATGGATGTAAAAGGAATTTCAAGAATAGGGTAGAATAGAAATTCATTTGTTCAAATATACTTACATCAGATAGTGCTAAAGCAATTTGTTCACTGGTGAGGTAATGGAGTAATTAGTTTTAGGGTACAATGGGACTGGCATGTACTTTTAGATTGTACAAAAGTTCCTAAATTTTAAAAGAAATAAATAAATATATACCTACATTGAAATACTCTTAATTTTTTGAATAATCTTAAATTTTTATTATGGCAGCAATGTACCATATCAGGTTGACCAACACACGATTTCCCTGGAGACCATCATGATAAATTCCTAAAAAAAATTACCACGATGGACTAACTGATCTGACCTTAAACTCATCTTGTCATTCCCGACTGGTGCCCTTATACCATTTTTGCAGCCAGGTCAACTGATCCTGACAATAGCCCAAACAACCCAATAAAAAAAAGGAGATCAAACTATCGCTCCTAAGAATATCCTTCAATTCTTGTTTCTGACGGGTCTAGGTAGCGAACTTTGAACAGGGCGAGCACAATAGATCTATGTAGGTCGCAGTGCTACAGGTCTAATCACCTGACAATAGCCCAAAACCCCCATTAAATAATCCCCGAGGCCGTCTCGAGTCTTTGGGTATTAACAAGAAATAGAAATAGAAATAATCTTTATTCAAATAAACTCATTACAAGCACTTTTGAATAGTCATATTTTGATTCTACCACTCATTCGGAATGCAGATTCATCACAAGAAGAATGAGCAAGAAACTTGTGTGTTGCTCTTTTTAATAGATGTTTTTTTTTATATAAATAATTACAGTATAACAAGTAAGAGGCATGCGATAATCAACATAGAAGTCGCTACGCACTCATTATTAATGTAATCAGACAATATTGTCAGTGCTATGGATTTAAAGTTTTTCTATAAAAACATTATTATCGTTAACGAATTCTTCAATTTTATAGTAAGCTTTTTTGCAAAGGAACTGTTTTATTTGACATTTAAATCTTTTTTCTGGCAGATTTATAACATACTCTGGTATTTTATTGTAAAACCTTACGCAATTGCCATAAAACGAATTACTAACTTTAGCCAAACGACATTTAGGTAAAATCAGTTTGTTATTGTTACGTAAGCTTTTATTAGTGCAATCACTAACTCTTTTGAATCTGTCTATATTCCTTCTGGCATAGATGATATTTTCATAAATGTATTGAGAAGCAACGGTGAGGATATTTGATTCCTTAAAACACTCTCGCATTGACTCCCTGGAACCCATACCATAAATGGAGCGAATGGCCCTCTTTTGTAAAGTAAATATTGTATTTATATCAGCTGCTTTGCCCCATAACAAAATACCATACGACATAATGCTATGGAAATAGCTAAAATAGACAAGTTTAGCCGTTGCCACGTCTGTTAATTGTCTAATTCTTCTTACCGCATAAGCGGCAGAACTAAGTCGACTCGCCAATTTAGTAATATGAGCACCCCATTGCAACTTGGAATCTAATGTGATACCTAGAAATACAGTATCGTCAACAAAATTAATAGATTTATTGTCCAATACGATTTTTGAATCTACCGGCCTTACATTGGGGAGAGTAAATTTGATACATTTAGTTTTATTTGCATTTAGTAGCATATTATTTGCCGTAAACCATTTTAAAACATAAGAGAGAGAACCGTTTACTTCGTCCATATCATCAATATGTCGATTGACTTTGAATACTAATGAAGTATCATCAGCAAACAGAACTATGTCAGCTATCTTTTCTACCATATAAGGAAGATCGTTTATGTAAACTAAAAATAAGAAAGGACCCAGAATAGAGCCCTGAGGAACACCCATTTTAATACTAGTTCCCTCAGACTTTACACCATTTATTTCAACAACTTGCATTCTATTATTTAGATAGGATTTCATCATGCATAGTGCTTCATATCTAATACCGTAATGTTCTAATTTGAGTAAGAGTGTTTCATGATCAACGCAATCAAATGCTTTTGAGAGGTCACAGAATACACCGATAGCATCCTGAGACCTCTTCCAACAGTCAAAAATGTGTTTCATTAAAGCTACACCAGCGTCAGTAGTTGATTTACCGGCTGTGAAACCAAATTGCCGACTGTGAAGCAGTCTATTTATTTTAAAGTGTTGAAGCATCTGATTGAGCATAATTTTTTCAAACACTTTACTTAGTACTGGTAAGATAGAAATGGGCCTATAATTACCTACTTCAGTTTTATCCCCTAACTTAAAAAGTGGAGTTATTTTGCTATGTTTCATTAAATTGGGAAAAACACCGTCAAAAATACATTTATTGAAGATAGTTACTAAATATGGAGCAATAACATCTATAGCGGTGTTAATAACTTTAACAGACATGCCCCAATGGTCTTCAGTATTTTTTAAATTTAATTGTTTAAATGTTTTCGTAATTGTAGCAATGTCAATAAATGTAAATTTAAATGTAACCGGACACGAAGCAACATTGTCAATAAGGAATGATTTAGCTGTACTTGGAGAAGAGTCCAAAGAGGACGTAATATCAGTTGGAATACTAGCAAAAAAATTTTCAAAAATATTGACTATTTCTTTCGTGGACGTTACTAGTTTATCATTATAATTTAACGTAAAATCATTATATGGACTTTTAACTTTGCCAGTTTCTTTATTAATAATATTCCACACTATCCTAATCTTATCCTTGGATTCTTTAATTTTTTTATTTAGATAATTAGACTTTGCTACATTACATACCTTTTTAAAAGTTTTTGAGTATCTTTTTACATAATTTACGAATGTACTATCGAAATGGTATTTTTTTTGATCATATAAATCAAATAATATATTTCTACTTTTATGAATTCCCTTTGTAGCCCATTCTGAAAATTTTGTTTTGTTACTAATACTGATAGTTTTTTTGTTAAAAGCCTTATTATATTCGTAAGAAACAATATTGAAGAAATCTGTATAAAGTTTGTTGGGTTCATCAGATTGAGGACAAAAATGTAATTTACTACGAACTGATATTTTAAATTTATTTATCTTATAACCAGTCAAGTCTCTTGACACTGACAATATTCTAAATCCCTCAATAAAAAGAATTCGAGACGGCCTCCGTCTCGAATCCTTAGTCACATCACTACCAATGAATTTCTTATTTGATCCGTACTTGGTACAGCTCGATCGAAGCCTCTTTAATGAGCCGGTTCGTTTTTGCATCGGTCGTGTCATCCGATTGTGGTATGGATTTAAATTTATAGTCTCCAATGATTTTAATTTATGATTTTTTAGACCTTGTACTATCATCATTGCCTTGTCTTTGTAGTCCCCAATTTTTATTTATAATGATTTTAATTTATGGTTTTTGAACCATCATTATTGTTTTGCCTTTATTCTATTATTTGTGGTCGGTGCAGTAAGTCCTTTTCTTCCACTGATTCATACCGGTCGTTGTATCTGAACTTACTCTCCTTTTATACATATCATCTTTCATACAATCCATCCATTTTTTCTTCGGTAGTCTCTATTCTTTAAAATTTATATTGATATTGAAAATAATAAAATCAGAGTTTCTTGTCAGTTCTTCTTAGCTCGAAACCGATTCTTCTAATCTAAAAAAATGCAATAGCTGACATTCTAACATTCTCCCTAATTGAATTTAAAAATGAATCAGTATTTTTGTAATCATTTGAAAAGAATACGAGCTGAGTTTCTTGTCAGTTCTCATCTCGTAATCATGCCGAACTGACGGTAGATTTGACATATCATAAGTCTATAATAGACCTACATGAATAAAGATATTTTGATTAGATTTCACTAGATCACACTTTGTCTACCCCATCAAGATATTTTGATTTAACTAGATCACACTTTGACTGCCCCTCCTTTCTTTTTTCGGACTACTCTAATGCTGCTAGCCGCAGCTGGCCTTTACAGCTGCACCGGAAGATAGAAGACGAGTGCATATGGCACTCCAAACCAAAGGAAGGACTTATGGAGCGGCTGAAGGCCAACTCCCGCCTGACTCAAGTATGAACAAGTATTTTTATTTTGATTTGGTTATTTATTAATTGCATTATATGTATTACTATTACAGTATCAAATTTCCAATGTATGCCCACTAAGATGAACGTCTCGGACGATGAAACACCAATGCACAGCGGGGGGCAGAGTCCTGGTGAGTTAAGATAGATATGTAGTTTTTTTTTTTATTTTGGTCCCACTGAAAATCTGCGGCATGTTCACATAGAACATGACATAAAGCTAAGCGGTGCTAATTCTATTAAAAAAATATATAATTAATGATAATCTATATACATGTTAAACTAAATTTAATTGTATATAATTTTTTTTATTTTAACTAATTTTTTTTAACTAACACGTAGCATAATGTATGAAGTTAGTTTTATTTTTTACTTTTTACAGACGTAATATTTGTCGCATTATTCATTATTCTTTAGTCACTTTGGCCAAAATCAACAGTGTGATTATTATTATCTCTGACTTTGTACAAAGTGTTAACACATAATTTCCGCTGTTAAATCCCTCTGAAATGCAGTTTTGCTCCAGTCACTTGAGCAAAATCAAAGTGGTGGTAATGATTGTCCGCAGTGTTCACCCCACCGACAAGCGGCTCCTCTCCAGCCACCGCTCTGTTCGGGGCCACTAACGCCACCACAATAGTCAAGAGTCCAATCAATATGTTGTACGAAAACTACCCTGGTCTGATCTTCAACTGCACCTTCGGGGATGGTTCACCCCTGGACGCCACGCAAGGTAACCCTTCATTATCAGCAACCGTACTTTCTACCGATAATTCCATCGGAAGTCACTGTTCATTGTCATTTCTAGAGTAAATGGCTGAACGTATCTTAAGGAGATTAGAACATATAGATAGATCGCCACGGGGACGGTCATAGGATAACTTTTGTGTCAAAAAAACATCTGCGAATGGGCGAAATTTAGAAGGGAGGTCTTTTACGCGCTAAATCGGGGTCGCGTGTTTGTGTTTAAAAAGTCATGACTTGCAATCACTCTCGATTATTCGCTCTTTTACGCGCTAAATCGGGAGCGCGTTCGTATCTATAATACCTATATACTAATATCTATATTACTGCAATCACTCATGATTACGCTCTCTGACGTGTTTAAATCTTCGTATCTTCTAATCACTAAATTATTCTCGGGTAAAACCACGCGCGTGCGATCGTGCTTTTAAAATTCAGTCTTGTAATCACGATTGCGCGCGCTGACTTTCTCGCACTAAACTGCGTGCGCACAATCGTGTTTAAAAATTTCGTTACTGCAATCACTTATGATTACGCTCGCTGACTTTCTCTGGCTGAAACGCGCAATCGCGATTGTGTTTAAATCTTCGTATCTTCTAACCAATCACGATTTAGCGCGCTGATATTTTCGGGTGAAACACGCGCGTGCGATCGTGTTCTCAAAATTGAGTCTTGAAATCACGATTGCGCACTCTTTTATGCGCTAAATTGCGCGCGCTCCTGATCGTAGGTCGTGTAATGATAATGCCGTTAAAATTTATTTTTATTACAGCTCCCCTTCAGCTAAGCCACAGCATGAGGTTCAAAGTCGTTTGTCAAATCAAGGATCAGAAATTCGAAGGTTATGGTGAGTATTCAAGTTCAATAAGTGTTGTGTTATGGCTAATAAGATACGTGTTTTATAGTCTAAACTAGCTTTTGCCCGCGGCCTCGCTCGCGTAGTAGTAAGTATTATTATTATTGCGACGACCGAAGTGGTCTAGCGGTCTTGCACACCGCTTTACGTCTGATGGTCACTGGTTTGATTCCTCGTACGGTACAAACATTTATATTCATGAGTATGATTGTTTGTGTCGGTCTGGGTGTTTTCTATATATAATATGTATGTATTTACAAAAAAAATCTATGTATTTGTATCGGTTATCTAGTACCCATAACACAAGCTTTAGTTAGCTTAACTTCGGTCTAGAGGGCGCTGTGTGAATTGCCCTGAGATTATTTTTTTTAACTTAAAAAAATGGTTGAATGCAACTCGAACACTGATTTTATTGCTAAAAGAAATGTAATGAGGTGAAATTGCCGGCAATTGTGTATTGCACAGTAAGCAGTATATGCGTATGTGCGGTTGCCCGTACATATATTAATCATTACATAGTATAAAATAAAGTCGCTGTCGCTGTCTGTCCTTATGTATGCTAAAATCTCTAAAACTACGCAACGGATTTTGACGCGGTTTTTTTTAATAGATAGAGTGATTCAAGAGGAAGGTTTATATGTATAATACATGTACACCCGTGCGAAATCGGGGCGAGTAGCTAGCTACTCGGATGTTACCTGACGGATCCTTTATTAATAACTAGTTATTAATAAAGGATCCGTCAGGTCACATTGTGATTTGATTCTGTAGTGCTGTTCATGTCTAATATATAGGCGGTTACCACTTACCATCAAGTTTACCGTCAGTTAATACAGTTACATAAAAATCTTCAGGGTCAAGCAAGAAACTGGCAAAGTTGGCAGCGGCCCGGTCAGCTCTGGCGGTCCTGGATGAAGGGCGGGTGGAAGCGGCACCCACTCCAACCAGAACTGGTTTCCTTCCTCAAACCCTCGCCGATCACATTGGCAAGTGAGTATAAATAAATAAATAAAAATAATCTTTATTTAAATAAATATTCTATAAATATATACCTTCAAGAAAAGAGGTTATTCCTTTTTAAAAGGCCGACAACGTACTTGCAATTCCCCTGGGTTGCTCATAGGCGGCGGTAATCACTTACCATCAAGTGAGCCGCATGCTCGTTTGTCCCCTGTTATAAATAACAAAATTTACCTAAGGTTGCCTGGAAGAAGTCGTTATTTAGCGATAAGGCCGCCCATTGTTACTCTGTGTTGTAATTATGTTGTTTCGTTTATATTTGGTACTAGCTGTACAAGCGACTTCGTCCGCGTGGAAAAAAACTTTATTTTTCTAAAATAAAAGTTGCCTAAGTTACTCCTTATGAGCTACCTGCCAAAAAAAGTCTCGTCAAAATTGGTCCAGCCATTTCAGAGATTAGCCGGAATAAACAGACCTACAGACAGATAGACAAAAATGATAAAAAATGTTATTTTGATATATGTACCGTATATATATTCATATGCATGTAGTAAAAAACGGTTATTTCAATATTACAAAAATTATTAAGGGTATATTTAGTTTTCTTAATATACCCTTCTTACTAAATATTAAGGGATGGCAATGCGAACGTAACACCCCTGGTGTTTGAAGCGTACATAGGCTACGGTAACTTCATCGAACCCGCGACCCCCCCACTCTGTTCCCCCAAATTTGAATTTAAAAATGAATCTATCATTGTAAACATCTACAACATTAATTTGAAAAGACAACGAGTTGAGTTTCTTGTCAGTTCTTCTCATCTCGAAATCATTCCGAACGGACGGTAGATTTAACATATCGTAAGAGTCTGTAATAGACCTTCATGAATAAAGATATTATGTATTTTAAATTAAACTTACATTGAATCACTTTTGAATAGTCATCACATTTTTTTTAATCTACCGCTCATTCGGAAAGCTGTCTCATCACAAGAAGAACGAGCAAGAAACTTGCGTGTTGTTCTTTTATATAATTTTGTTGTTACTTTACATTTTTACATTCAAATGTGTGAAAACAAACTACCAACTAGCATTTGTTCAATTAAATACTCACATACTTTGACATATCATAAGTGTTAGGGAATTTACTCTCTGCTACCAAAATGTTAGGGAAAGTACTATGTATATATATAGGGAAGCGTCTGTCACGTACCTGTATGGTTCTGCGGATTTCTTGGGCTTCAGGGTCTCGAAGATATCTTCGCTAGCTTTCCAGTTTCACAATAGGTTTTACAGTAGGTTTAACACAGTTCTAATTTATTTTAATTCACAACACAAATGCGCGCGCGCGTCATGGCCGCTGTACGGTCAGTTCAGTACTAGGTAAGGGAGGGGAGGCAAAGGCGCGGGAACAGAAAACTAACGGACTCTAATATAATAATCTGTGCTTACGATGTTACAGGGTAGATTTTGAACAATAAGAGTCTGTAATAGTCCTACATGAATAAAGATGTTTTGATTTTTTTTTTAATCTATGAGAAGCAAAACGGTGTGTCAAACCGCTAGACCAACGAGGCCGTCAATATAATTCCCGTTTTCTTGTTCTTCTCTTCTTCTTTCTTCTCTTTTTCTGCAGGCTGGTGAACGAGAAGTTCAATGAGGTGATGAAGGGTGATCTAATCCATTCCAAACGTAAAGTCCTCGCCGGTATTGTGATGACCATCAACAACAGACCGGAAGGTGCCAAGGTGGGTGATGAATATCCTCATGATAATATGTTGGTCTTGCTTGTAATGGTAATGGTAAACCAGCTGACAGTCATATGGTAAGTGGTATATATGCCCTGTTTATATATAGTATGAACTGAATTGGGAACTATCTATAAGTTCATGTTATCCTGGTACTTTTACTGTAGTACCATTGTATCACACTTGACATCGTCAGAGAATCTGACGGCCCACCTGATGGTAAGTGGTAACCGTCGCCTATATACATGAACAGTAGAACAGACATCATGTCATGTGACGTCCGTGCTAGCTACCATTGGAAACTATCTATAACTTCATGTTGTCCTGGTACTTTCATTGTCATACTAAAGTGTCACACTTGACTTTTTTTATGTAAGTTCAGTAGCAAACAATCCGACGGCTCCTCCTGATGGTAAGTGGTGGTTTTTTATGTAATGCAAAAGCAGACAGCCCAACTGATGGTAAATGGTAACCTTCGTCTACATTCATAAACATCTCATCATGAGACGGCTATAGTAGTAGTTCTTGTACCTTATGCCCAATTTACACTCAGCCCGAGTGGGCTGGGAAGTGAGCAGCGCGAGAGTGTAAACACGAGTGGAAACACTTCCCATGCCATTGTCGCTGCCACTCGCGCTGCCCGGCGCTCCCTCGATTGTCGGTTTTTCGTGCGCGAGTCAAAGGACTGGCAGCGCGAGTGGCAGCGTGTTTTTACATTCAGCCCTCTCGCTCAGTTGTCGTCAGGCAATAATTCCGGCAGCGCGAGTGGCAAGCGAAGTGGCTGAATGTAAACGGAGCATATTGCTACGTTTACATTCAACCGCTTCCTCTGCTACTGCCCGAGGATTCCTAGTGGCAATCCTCGGATCGGGTACAAATACGGCAGGTACTTGTGCTGCTCGTAATGTGTTAATTGACGTTTTTTTTTCTTTCTATTTCTATTATTATTCATAGAGATTTAAATGTCAAATAAAACAGTTCCTTTGCAATAAAGCTTACTATAAAATTGAAGAATTCGTTAACGATAATAATGTTTTTATAGAAAAACTTTAATACCATAGCACTGACTATATTATCTGATTACATTAATAATGAGTGCGTAGCGATATCTATGTTGATTATCGCATGCCTCTTACATGTTACACTGTAATTATTTATATAAAAAAAACATCAATTAAAAAGAGCAACACACAAGTTTCTTGCTCATTCTTCTTGCGATGAATCTGCATTCCGAATGAGTGGTAGAATCAAAATATGACTATTCAAAAGTGCTTGTAATGAGTTTATTTGAATAAAGTTTATTTCTATTTCTATTGTTATTCATAAAAGTGATTTTTACTTGGCAGGTGATAGCTGTGACCACCGGTACCAAATGTGTGTCAGGCGAACATATGTCAGTACGCGGACGGGCGCTCAACGACTGCCATGCTGAGGTAAACTGATGATTCATCACCTCATGATGATGAAGAAATATTTATGTCCATTTGAACTTACCTAATATTTTCTGTATTCAAGTATTTAATTGAACTAGTGCTAGTTGGTAGTTTGTTTTCACACATTTCAACATAAAAATGTAAAGTAACAACAAAATTATATAAAAGAACAACACGCAAGTTTCTTGCTCGTTCTTCTTGTGATGAGAAAGAACAACACGCAAGTTTCTTGCTCGTTCTTCTTGTGATGAGACAGCTTTCCGAATGAGCGGTAGAATTAAAAAAATGTGATGACTATTCAAAAGTGCTTCAATGTAAGTTTATTTGAATAAAAAATTCAAAAAATTTAAAATACATAATATCTTTATTCATGTAGGTCTATTAAAGACCTTGTGATAAAGATCTTGTGATGAGCTTTCCGAATGAGCGGTAGATTGAAAAAAACGTGATGACTATTCGAAAGTGCTTCAATGTAAGTTTATTTGAATAAATGATTTTCTATTCTATTCCACTGATGCGCCTGATATAAATAATCATAAAAATCTAATGGGATACTAATCAGTTACAATAATAAGGTGTTAGATTGTAGTGACTTCGCTAGTATACCTCTCGCTTCCACATCAACCGTATTTATATCATATTATAGAAAAACTTTAAATACATAGCACTGACAATATTATCTGATTACATTAATAATGAGTGCGTAGCGACTTGTATGTTAATTATCGCATGCCTCTTACTTGTTACACTGTAATTATTTATATAAAAAAAAAATCTATTAAAAAGAGCAACACAAGTTTCTTGCTTATTCTTCTTGTAAAAATCTATAATCTATCTTGTATTTATATCATGTTGTTATAACAATAAGGTACATTTTACTTTGATATTACAGTCAGATATTTCCGGTAAGAATACAAAGATAAACATAGAAAATCATTTATTCAAATAAACTTACATTGAAGCACTTTTGAATAGTCATCACATTTTTTTAATCTACCGCTCATTCGGAATGGTGTCTCATCACAAGAAGAACGAGCAAGAAACTTGCGTGTTGCTCTTTTAAATAATTTTATTATTACTTTACAATTTAAGTTTAAGTGTGTGAATACAAACCACCAATTAGCACTAATTCAATTAAATACTCAAATAGAAAAAATATTGAATAAATAACCAACTGGTTAAACAATTAATAAGAGGAAATCAGTCATAGTGATTAGAGCAGATCACACACGCTTGCTCCCACATCAACCGTATTTAAGTCATATTAATATAACAATAAGGTACATTTCATCTTTTAGATTGTAGAGAGATTTCTCTGGTATACCTTGCGCTCACACATCAACCGTATTTAAATCAAATTCCTATAATAATAAGGTACATTTTCGTATGCAGGTGGCGGCTCGGCGTTGTTTGCAGAGATATCTATATTCACAGCTTCTGATGTACGCATCTGCTAAAGGTAAATTGATTTCAGTCATCAGTCATCAGTCATCTTTAAATTTGTAATGTAGTGGTAATGCAACTTCTAGGTCACAGGTTCGACACGACACAATAAGTTTTTTATTAGTCAACATAAGTTGCTTCACCTATTGAAGACCTCGGTGGTCTAGCAGTTTAGTTGCGGTGGTCGCGGGTTCGTTACCCGGATAATACAATTTTTATTTTTGATATACATTCAAAATGTTGTTTTGTATAATAATAATTAAGTTAAGAAAATAAACACAGAGCCGTCTATAATCTATACATCTAAATTCTATATCTGTCTATATTACATATAAATAAAATTGGACTGTCTGGTTACAAACAGACACTCAATTCTATTGAAATAACCGTTTTTTACTACATGCATATGAATATAAATACGATATATACACCAAAATAACATTTTTTAAAATTATCTGTCTGTCTGTCTGTTTGTTCCGGCTAATCTTTGAAATAGCTGGGCCGATTTCGACTGGATATTTTTGGCAGGTAGTTAATATAATAAGTAGTAACTTAGCTGCTTTTATTTTAGAAATATTATTTTATTTTAGAAAAATAAAGTATAACACCACGCGGACGAAGTCGCGGGTACAGCTAGTATTAATAAATAAGTGTGTGAAATTTCAATAAATTCAATTATTTTTAAAAGGCGTAGGTATATAGTTTTTGCTTCATGAATATATATAGTTTAATAGTTATTAAATAAATAATATTAAAATAAAATATTAATAAAATTTAGGGGTGGACTACCTCTAACATTTAGGGAGATGAAAAATAGATGTTGGCCGATTCTCAGACCTACTCAATACGCTCACAAAATTTCATGAGAATCGGTCAAGCCGTTTCGGAGGAGTATGGGAACGAAAACTGTGACACGAGAATTTTATAAATAAGATTGTAATATATAGACCCGAGGCGGCCGATACCGCAATCAGACATTGAACCTATACCCGGCGGTGGTTACCAGCTGCGGGCTGACCGTCACCTGCATCTGTACGTGAGCACGGCGCCCTGTGGTGACGGACGCATCTTCAGTCCACACGAACAGTCAGAACCTGAGCCTGACAGACATCCCAACAGGTATGTTTTTTTATCTAATGGTATGGTGAAGTACCAGGATAACATGAAGTTACAGGCAGGTGGCTAATGGAACATAATTGGCACCACTCGTGGATGGATAGAATGAGAGAAGTCAGATCAGTATAAAGTAAAGTGTGATACAGTGAAAGTACCAGGATAACATGAGGTTACAGGCAGTTAAGTGGTCTGTGGCACTGTTCATATATAATAAATACATGATAGATAATAATAATAATAATATTGTGGTCCCGCCTCTGCTGACAGTATACACTGGCGGGGCATCAGTGGAGGATGATAGGATGAGTTTGAGGTCAGGGTCAGTTCCATCCTCTTATAAAATAATAGGTGTGATACAGTGAAAGTACCAGGATAACATGAGGTTACAGGCAGGTGACTAATGGAACAATGGGCACCACTCGTGGATGGATAGAATGAGAGAAGTCAGATCAGTATAAAGTAAAGTGTGATACAGTGAAAGTACCAGGATAACATGAGGTTACAGGCAGTTAAGTGGTCTGTGGCACTGTTCATATATAATAAATACATGATAAATAATAATAATATTGTGGTCCCGCCTCTGCTGACAGTATACACTGGCGGGGCATCAGTGGAGGATGATAGGATGAGTTTGAGGTCAGGGTCAGTTCCATCCTCTTATAAAATAATAGGTGTGATACAGTGAAAGTACCAGGATAACATGAAGTTACAGGCAGGTGACTAATGGAACAATGGGCACCACTCGTGGATGGATAGAATAAGATTAAAGTCAGATCAGTATAAAGTAATAAGTGTGATACAGTGAAAGTACCAGGATAACATGAGGTTACAGGCAGTTAAGTGGTCTGTGGCACTGTTCATATATAATAAATACATGATAAATAATAATAATATTGTGGTCCCGCCTCTGCTGACAGTATACACTGGCGGGGCATCAGTGGAGGATGATAGGATGAGTTTGAGGTTAGGGTCAGTTCCATCCTCTTATAAAATAATAGGTGTGATACAGTGAAAGTACCAGGATAACATGAAGTTACAGGCAGTTGGGTGATGTCTTGGTACTGTTCATGTATATAGGCGACGGTTCCCACTCTCTATATATTATAAAACTGAAGGTCTTCCATTATGTAATGATGGTATACGCTGACGGGGCACCAGTGGAAGATGATAGTATGAACATAGATCAGTCCCATGCTTGGCATCCCCTAAGAAAGGATTTTGATAAATTCCACCCCAAAGGGGAAAAATTACCGCGAGCGAAGCCGCGAGCAAAAGCTAGTAATGGGATAAAGGCAAGGCAATGATGATGAGAAAGTTCTAAAACTAAAGTTGTTAACATGGATACTTTCATATACTTGCCTCTTAATATACTTTCCCATTAACCCTACATATAAACAGACAGATAAACTTATATATATGTACTGTACATCATCAGATTAGCACGAGGTCAGCTCCGGACGAAGATAGAATCCGGTGAAGGTACAATTCCTGTGAAGAACAGCAACAGTCTGGTGCAGACCTGGGATGGAGTCATGCAGGTCAGTATTGTCATAGCACTGTACGTAGGTACGCTTATGAACGTTAAAAATCTTGTATTGATATTTTTCAATCAAATATCCTCACCGTTGCTTCTCAATACATTTATGAAAATATCATCTATTCCAGAAGGAATATAGACAGTTTCAAGAGAGTTAGTGATTGCACTAATAAAAGTTTACGTAACAATAACAAACTGATTTTACCTAAACATCGTTTGGCTAAAGTTAGTAATTCGTTTTATGGCAATTGCGTAAGGTTTTACAATAAAATACCAGAGTCTGTTATAAATCTGCCAGAAAAAAGATTTAAATGTCAAATAAAACAGTTCCTTTGCAAAAAAGCTTACTATAAAATTGAAGAATTCGTTAATGATAATAATGTTTTTATAGAAAAACTTTAAATCCATAGCACTGACAATATTATCTGATTACATTAATAATGAGTGCGTAGCGATTTCTATCGCATGCCTCTTACTTGTTACACTGTAATTATTTATATAAAAAAAACATCTATTAAAAAGAGCAACACACAAGTTTCTTGCTCATTCTTCTTGTGATGAATCTGCATTCCGAATGAGTGGTAGAATCAAAATATGACTATTCAAAAGTGCTTGTAATGAGTTTATTTGAATAAAGATTATTTCTATTTCTATTACCTTATCGCCCAGTTAAAGATTCAATTGAGGAGAACTGGCAATCGTTTTTGTTAAAGCCAGTTATTATTTAAATAGTTAAAAGACAGTTTGTTTATATTGTTTCTTTATATAGGTGTCTATGTCTAACATTAAATGAAAATCCAGTACATGAACAACCTGCTAGGCACGCTGCATGGCAATAGTCGTTCATGCACGGGATTTTCATTTAATGTTAGACATAGACACCTATATAATAATAATAATAATATTCTTCTGCCGGGGGTAAGTTGCCATCTCCTCCCCTTAAGAGGGGAGATGAGATTTTTTTTTAAAGTTAGGAATAATAATATTCTCAGGACAATTCACACAGCGTCATCTAGACCCAAGTTAAGCTAGCCTAAACTTGTGTTATGGATACTAGATAACTGATACAAATACATAGATAATTTTTTTTTGTAATTACATACATATTATATATACATAGAAAACACCCAGACCGATACAAACAATCATACTCATGAATACAAATGTTTGTGCCGTGAGGAATCGAACCCGCGACCATCGGTCGTAAAGCGGTGTGCTGGACTGCTAAACCACCGAGGGCGTCGAGGTATTATATATAAATATACATTGTAAATAAACTAGCAACATGATGAATTCGTGGTAAATTATACCACGATGTGCTAACTGACCTACATTAGCTACCTGCCAAAAAAAGTCCCGTCAAAATCGGCCCAGCCATTTCAGAGATTAGTTGGAACAAACAGACAGACGGATAAAAATTTAAAAAAAGTTTTTTTTGCGTAAGTTCAGTATTTATATTCATATGCATGCAGTAAACAACGGTTATTTCAATATAACAAACATACACTCCAATTTTATTTATATGTATAGATGTATGTCCGTGCGAAGCCGGGGCGAGTAGCTAGTCATATATAAAAAGCTAGATTATGTTTTAATAAAGTTAGCGTTAGAGACACTAAGTATTATAACGAGGAATGATGCATATCGGTCAACCATTCACTTGTGCTTATCATAAGGTTTATATAATACATATACAGTTGTACACCCGTGCGAAGCCGGGGTGGGTAACTAGTATTATAATCTGGTATTAATATGGTGCAGGGTGAGCGGCTGCTGACGATGTCGTGCTCGGACAAGGTGGCGCGCTGGTGCGTGGTGGGGATGCAGGGCGCACTGCTCTCACGACTGCTGCGGCCCGTGTACCTGCACTCGCTGGTGCTGGGCTCGCTGCTGCACCCCTCGCACATGTACAGGTACCGACACTCTCACGACTGCTGCGGCCCGTGTACCTGCACTCGCTGGTGCTGGGCTCGCTGCTGCACTCCTGAGTTGGCCTTCAGCCGCTCCATAAGTCCTTCCTTTGGTTTGGAGTGCCATCTGCACTCGCCCCCTATCGTCCGGAGAAGCTGTAAAGGCCAACTACGGCCAACAGCATTAGAGTAGTCCGAAAAAAAGGCGAGTGACGGATGACGTGACAATATTTTATAGGTGAAATGTGGATCGCGTCTGTCTGGTCTGTAAGAGGCCAGTTGTTATGATAAGAGGTAATGATGTGAAATGATTATAATACAACCGAAAGACAAGGTGTTGGAACACATGATGAAATGAAAAAAACATAAATAATAATAGTAATATATCAAATATATTCATAATATAATTATTTTTAAACTTTCATGTTTAATATATATTATTTATATTGTTAACCGGGCATTAACATGAATAATTTTATGGTAAATAAAGCTATTTACCTCTCGACGTTTTGACTAGGGTGGTCACGAGCTGACCGGAGTAACATCGTTGCTACTCCAGTCAGCTCATGCCCACGGCTAGTACAACCTAGTCAAAACGTGGTGAGAGGTAAATACCTTTATTTACCATAAAATTATTAGTGTTAAAATAAAGTTATATAAACATAGTTATTTTTAAACTTTCGAGTTTAATATATTTTATTTATGTTGTTAACCGGATCTTGAAACGTCGTGAGAGGTAAATTTATTTACCATAAACTTATTCATACCCAGTTACCCTTATAACCAGTTAACAATATATATAATGCGTATTATAAACATACATTATGAAATATACATATAGTACGTCAATATTAATTCTAAACAATAAAATTTATATTATATCACTAGTAAACTTATATATTATATTATTTTCTATATCTTATATAAACTTATATATGTATATATATATATATACTAAACTTATATTTTATTATATATACATATACAAAATTAATTTAGGTTACGTTTAGACTGTTTTATCGGAACCTGTATGAAAACTATTTATAAATTTGTGGATAAAAGTTTAAATCATAAACAATATTTCTATTAACATTTGTCTTTACGGTAAATTACATTTTAGATATAATTTGAATAAAAAAGTGTTTAACCAATTAAGAAGCCTAGTCGGAGCTAGCAGCTCACAATTGTGATCCTTCCCTTCTAAATAAATAGAGAGAAAAATAGATCTATATATATATATTTTTACACATTTTCATACCTACTCATATATCTCTAATTAAATTATAGTTAGTATTTATAAAAATCTAATTCTCCAGTCTGTAGCTCGAACTTAAAGTTCGTTTGTTATTTATTTTCTACTAGCTGTACCCGCGACTTCATCCGCGTGGGATTTATAATTATTTTTCTAAAATAAACGGTTAAAAAAAAGTAGCCTATGTTACTCCTTATTACATAAGTTACCTGCCAATAAAAGTCCCGTAAATGTCGGTCTAGCCATTTCAGAGATTAGTCGGAACAGACAGACAAAATTTAAAAAATATGTTATTTCGGTGTATGTGCTGTATTTATATTCACATGCATGTAGTAAGAAACCGTTTTTTCAAATTAAAACAGACACTCCAATTTTATATATATGTATAGATTATTAGCTTTCAGGTATTTTTTTAATAGTACATTACACACGCGCTGAATATTAGTATAGGTTTGGCACACGTATGTAGGTTTACCCATATTCTATTGTACTGATCTGAAAGAGTGATAGAATGTGACAATAATAATATAATAATAATAATAATAATCTCAGGACAATTCACACAGCGCCATCTAGACCCAAGTTAAGCTATCTAAAGCTTGTGTTACGGGTACTAGATAACTGATACAAGTACATAGATAATTTTTTTTCGTAAATACATACATAATATACATAGAAAACACCCAGACCGATACAAACAATCATACTCATGAATACAAATGTTTGTGCCGTGCGAGGAATCGAACCCGCGACCATCAGACGTAAAGCGGTGTGCTAGACCGCTAGACCACCGATGTCGTGACAATGTCACACTTCATCAACCCCCATGTTACGTTAAGGTCCAACGTCTTCTATGGATGGTTCGTACGGTTTACCCATATTCTATTGTATTTATTTGAAAGAGTGACAGAGCGTGACAATGTCACACTTCATCAACCTCCATCTTACGTTAAAGAGTAAGACGTCTTTTATTGGTGGTCCCTAACTATCTTTCTGTAGAATATAATCAGTCCAAACAAAATTAGGTTTAATATATATTTAGAATGTCTTAATATTAATAATATAATAAACGCGAAAGTTTGTGAGTATGGATGTTTGTTACTCTTTCACGCAAAATCTACTAAACGGATTTTGATGACACTTTACAGTCATCATCATCATCGCAGCCCGGAAGACGTCCACTGCTGGACATAGGCCTCCCCCAAAGATCTCCACGACGATCGGTCCTGCGCTGCTCCCATCCAATGCCTTCCAGCGATCTTGATTTGTACTACAGTACACAGTAATACAGCTTATACATCAGAATAACATATAGTTTATATTTAAATGTATATAATGAGACCGCGAGCACAGCTGGTTCTAAATATAGGGGATGGTCTTCACATGGTCTTCACATGGTCTTCTTTACGGGGTAAGCAGGACAGGCAGGTGATTTTATTCTATGGAATATGGAGACTGGCTGTGGGTGATCAGGAAGTAATTGCCTCGGGATCTGAAAGTGTATGAAGAATTTATAATAATTAATGTATTACTAGGAATAATTGGGAACAAAGACGTCTAGCTCCTACTAAATATAATAACGGACAGACAGACACATTTACTCACATTAGATACACAATTGTTATTTTACTTAGAAACAGCTACATCATTATCTGCTTCTTCCTTATCTCTTTTATTTGGGGTTGGTGTAATATGTTTTTCTCTTCCATTCATCTCTGTTCGCAGTCATCTCGTTATTTACTTCCTTTCTGGCCATATCATCTTTCACATAGTCCATCCATCTCTTTTTCGGTCTTCCTCTGCCCTAATAACCATCCACATTCGTATGTAACACCTTCTTTAAAATATTATCTTCATTCCTACGAATTACATGCCATATCACGATAGATACACTCTTCAACCTCTCCGACACCGGCGCCACTTTCATACTTCCTCTAATGTATTCATTCCTTATCTTATCCACTCTTGTCACACCACACATCCATCTCAATATAATAACGGACAGACAAAGACACATTTACTCGCATTAGACACACAATTGTTATTTTACTTAGAAATAACTACATACATAAATTGCAGTATATAGTAATAAGTAATAGCCCAAGAGAAATCACACAGCGCCATCTATACCCAACTGAAACGTTCTATTAGCAACAACATGCAATACTGATAATTGTTGCTATGAAAATATTTTAGGCGCTTCGTAATTTATAATCTAGATCAATATTATTTTTGATTCTTATTCAAATACACGTCCCGTCAATATATTTTCATGGCATTATTATATTAAAACACTTTAATAATTTAATAATTTCTTCAATGGGTAGATAGATAAATCATTTATTTACACTTTTAACACAACAAATATTAAAATTGTAACTTTTTGTATATAGTACATATAATGGCCATACCAATATAAATAAACCATACTCATGGATATAAATGTTCTGTGCAAGAATAAAGCCCGCTATTGGAAGCAAGGCAGTGTGCTAAACAGCTAGACCACCGAGGCTGTCGAATATTTAAGTAAACTATTATAATACAATATTAATTAAATGAGTTTAATTATTACGTAGAATATTCATTAAAATGATTAATTATTACCAAAAAGCAAAGTGGAAATCTAAGAATTACATTGTGTTTTGTTTTCATACTAAATTGATCATGTGAAAAAGCAGTTTTTGTGAAGTTTTTAATAAAATGTCTTTTCGATTCTCGGTAAGATTTATTCTCTATTTCTAGTTAATTTTACTATGTACAATATTCATGCTAAGGAGTCAAATTCACTAAGAAACAAAAGTGAAAATCTAAGTATTAAGTTTTGATTTTTTAATAAATTGATAAAGGAAAAAAGCAGGTTTTGTGACGTTTTTTATAAAATAAATTTTCGATTCTCGGTCAAATTTATTATCTATAGTAAGCACTTTGCAACATTTGTTTCGGTTGTTGGATGTGAGTGAAAGTTCAGGATAAGAGGCGTGATGTTTTAGTCCTATGGAATAGCTGCATATAAGTGGCGTCCAAACAGCATTCAATGCTACTGGGTACCTTACTTTGTAAGGTGTGTTTCGGTTGTAGGATGTGAGTGAAAGTACAGGATAAGAGGCGTGAGATACAGTGCTGTTCATATGTATATACACTATAGTTACCATTTACCATCAGATGGGCCGTTGAAAGAGCTTCTTTGTCATCCCATTTACATAAAAAATGTTTAACTTCATCAATTATTTCTAGCTTTCCACTTAGTTTAACAATAACTTCTTTTACCATTATCTCTGCAAGTACCTACCTTATCCACTCCCAGTAATAGTTAATTTATCTCCTTGTCCTAACCCCAGCAGTCTCTTCACAAACCTCTTCGCCTTCGAATCGTTACCAAGCTCCAAATTATATACAGCAGTCGGCAAAACTTGTGGCAACGCCCCTATATAGTTATTACGTTCCTTAGTCAAATGATTCAGTTCTCCATTAGCGCTCTTCACCAATGTATTGATCTCTCTCATTACAGTAACAACTGGTATTACATTTTTACGATTCTTCATAAGGAACTCTAACATTTTGAATAGAAAATTGTCGCTCTCTGATTCAGTTCGCTTGAAGAGAGATATGAAACGTCTAACTCTTTTTCGTCTAGGTGTAATGATGTTAGATTCCGTACTATGATCTAATGTTCCTTCATTGGTTGGTGTGAGTCCAGCGTTGTAAATGTTGTCTGTTATAATACTATGAATATTAATAGACGTTGGTTTTG